CAGACAACACTGTTTATTCGAAGCGCAAAAGATCTAAGTCACAGAAGCAGGGATGAGAGAATGCAGAGCAACAGTCCTCAATTCCAGTGTGGTTGTGGTTCAGCTGGTTTGGGGACCTAATAATCTGCTTTTACCAAATATTCCCCACCCCTCACTCCTCCTCTCTCCAGCAGCTCTAATTCAAGCCCCCAAATATTTTGAGAAACACTGGCAAAGAGAAAAAGATAATAGGGTTTCGAATCAGAAAATATGGATTCAGGGGTAGGAGTGGGTGGAATGGGTGAAGGTGGTCAAAAGGTACAAACTCCCAGTTACAAAATAAATCAACCCCTGGGAATGTAATGCCCAGCACGGTGACTATAGCTAGTAACACTGTAGTGCATATTTGAAAGTTGCTAAGAGAGTAAATCTGGAAAGCTCTCATTGCGAGAAAAAAAAATGTAATTTTGTGTGTGATGGATGTTTTGACTTATCGTGGTGATCATTCTGCAATATACGCGTATTGAATCGTGCTGTTCTACATCTGAAGCTAATATAATGTTATATGTTAATCATCTCTCAATCAGAGAAAAAGAAAAAGAAAGATTCACACACATACACTCATCTTCTTTCCGTGATTTTTTCCCAAATTCACTTTTAGTCTCTCACTGTTTGGACTACTGTCTTGCACTGTTGTTTATTGGTTAGCATGTGTGTTTATGTATCTGTGAGCACAAGTGGGGCTTCTCTGTATAACCAGCTTACAAACTTCTGGGGAGCGGGGACTGTTTGCTGCTTTGGCAGAAATATCCAACAGTTTCCATTACAGCGCTGTGTACATCAAAGGTGCTTGATAAATCTATACCTGATTCACTCATTTGTTGCAGTAAATAATGCCAAATTGCTAGATAACTGGGCAACTCTCCTCTCCCTTCCATACTCATAAAATAAAAGCAATTGAATCAGACAACCCTGCCTCGTTGCCATGATCTCAAGTGAATTTTGAAAAATCTACTGTACTTTTTATTTTTGAGAACATTATAACCGTAATAGTGAAGAATTAATAATACCTTGGGTTTCATAGAGTGCTTGACAGTTGTCAACTGTCTTTCACAAAATATTTCCTACGTTTACTATCTGTAGGATCGGTGATCTAAGAATTTGATGAAATCATAATAATAGCATTTCTTTAACAAATAATAATAACATAATTTTAAAAGTTTAGAATATCCTTGGAATGATCAAGCATCCCACAGAAACATGTAAACACATCCTGGCATATTCTGAATAAACCAAACAAAATGAATTATATTTTTTAAACTGCACTTGTATCTTTTGTGGGGGGTGGTTATAATTAAAAAGTGAACAAATATTGCAAATTATCTATAGCAGCAGCACTGCTCTGATTCTCCACAATCTGGGCTGTGCATACATCTCAGGACAGCTATGCTGGATCCCTAACAAAGAAATCTCCATCCTTGTTCAGACCTCTAAGATTGTTCTGCCTGCCTGGTCAGAAGTTGATATATATAAACAGTCTTTCTGTGCTTGAACTTGAAAGAAAAATCAGTCATCTGTACATGATCTGTGTTAGAGCAAAATGCAATTTTTCCCTCTGACAATGTGTTTATGGTTGTTAAGTTATCTTGATTGCCAAGAGAAATCTGTCTTGTGTGGCAGCCTTTTCTGACTTAAAATGTCAGATGCCTCAGCCCCCCACTTCCCCACCCCCCCTTCCCCACCCCACTATCGAGCCATCCTTTCAACTAATTCACAAATTGACTTGACTCTCAGCTGAGTTAAAAAAAAATAATTTCCTGAAAATTTAAAGCCTGGCACAATACTGCACTAAAAGTCCATTTATCTTGTCTATTTTTATAAAGCTTCACTGCAGCATTTGGCAAAACGCCCACTTCCAGTAACAAAGGTCCCCGAGGACACTTGGCGAGAGAGACTTTTCTCCCAGGACCCTGAAAATGATCCTGAGCTTCCTAACGCATGAGTTAAAAGCTTGACTAGGATCTGTAATGTTATCTTCTGCATTATTTCTTTTAAAAGTCAGAAGCAAGTGAGAATACTGTAGAGGTGAGGTGGCAACAAAGGTGGCATGTCTTGGAACTCCTCCCCTTCGTTGACTGACTAGGGGGCTCGCTTGAAATTCTCTGTTATTGTGAAACGTAATGGCTACAGATCATCTAGATGGGGTGGCGCAATGATTCACTCTTGTTTAATCAACTACAACCTGTGTTAAGCTCTACCCTCATCTCAATATAAACCAGCCTAATCTTTCCACTTTCCTGCAGGAAACTGCCATGGCCCTTGTTTATTCGTCTGCTCTGGTCTTGAGTAAATCCTTCCCTTTTCTTCCCTCCTCCCCTCGCCAGTCACTGGGGGTAAGGTTTCCAGCACTTCCAATCCAAGACTGATGGGGCTTTCCTGTTGATGTCAAGTTGAAGCATTCCATTGAGAAAGCAACCTCAAGACTTGGCATCTCCTGTGTCCCTGAGCTAACCAAGCGGTTACACCAAGCTTGCCCCTCTTCCATTCTAGAAAAGAGAAATAGTCTGTGAAAAATTGTTTGCTTGGAATGTTTTTCTGAGGAACTGAACACTTATGTCAAAGGAAATACAGACGTGCTTCACCCAGTTTGATAGGAGGTTTTCCCTTTTTTGAACCACAGTTCCACTTACCAGACCCTTCTTTTAGCATGGGGTATGCTAATGGAAAGCCACTTTGTCAGTTCTGTGACATTCCGATCAATAGTCACTTTGCCTCAATGATTTACCCCATAAACCTAAATGCCATCTCATCAGTGAATTCCTGGCGTTAAAACTATTGATACCAAATTCCAATGCGATTATAGCATTAGGTTGGGTTTTTTTTCTTTATTGCATTTGGAGTATTGAAAGAGTTTCTTTTTTTTCCTTTATTAAATTAAGTGGTTTAGAAGAGTTTGAAACTTTCTGAGGCATGACCAAAGACACAATTCCATCTGTTTTGTTTTTCTTATTCATGACATAGATGATTTTATTTTAAACAGTGCATGCGTTTCACTTTAATTCTTCATGTCTGTCAGAGCACATCATCTGTGATGTGTGGATAGTTAACCGTAGCACTTTGTAGGAAGATTTAGGCAGAAAGTGAAAACAGCTTGCAGAAGAAATCAGCTAAAAGTGGAAGTTGAATGCTTATGGTGCGGTAGTTGGTCCATCCCGTGCTAAGCAAAAATTTTAAGTGCGACCTGCTGGTACCTGAAACCTGAAAGTCGTTCTCATCCACTTAGTGAACGTTGGCCCCCTTTCTCATAGGCAAGTGCTGAATGTCCCAGTGACCGCATCCTGTGTCTCGCTTGGCTGTTTTGTGGCTGGGATGAAGGCCAGGGACAGAGCAGCTATGGAAACGGAGCTCTCCTCTGGGCAAGCTCTTTGGTCTCCCTTCATTAGTATTTAGCTGTCCCAGTGCAAAAGCGTCCACCTCTGAACACTTTGGTCTGCCCAATTCACCGCGTTTCTCAAACTGAAGTGCTCACACACCTTCCTCGCCCCATCTACACAGAGAGCAAGTCCAGTGCTGAGGTCCACAGGGTCAGTGGGCTGTTTCTTCCTTTACTTGATGGTAAGGAATTTGGAATATAAACTTTGTACAAAAAATACCGTGGGGTAATATATTAAATCCCCCAGTTTTCAATATCAGAGGCTTTCAGAAAACCTCAGTAGTTGTAGACACTGTGGATGGACAGCACCTTCAGAGCGCACGGTGACTCTCTCTTGACTCAGCTACAATAGAAGGTTTCAGGGAGTTCTCTGAGTGCCCTAAATCCCCTTTCAGATCAGCACCTGTCATTATATTTTCAGACATTTAACTCCCAAGTACTAACAGGAAAAAGACTGGAATCACTGAGATACTGAAGAGCTGAATTGCATATTAAGTTATTTTGGTTGTAATCCCCAGAAGTTTCTAACCCTTAAATTTCTTCCATGAATTCCTTAAACCTCCATCCCCTATAAGAAGTGATCTTGTGGAACAGTTTCAAATCATTATGGGTTCAACTTCACATGAGATGTATCTGCAGGTTATAATATTTACTCAGTAGCCATCTTGTGGAACACAAATTACGCATCCTAGAAATAGTCTGGGGTCCGTTTCACGATGCCATGCCTGGTAAGATGCATTGGCTTCAAACATTTGAAAAAAATATAATTACGGAATTAGAGGGTTTTTTTTTTTTTGCTTTATTGAATTAGAAATATTGAGAGGGTTTTTTCTTTATTAAATTAAGTACCTTACAAGAGTTTGAAACTCTTCTAAAACACAACCAAAGACACAATTCCATCTGTTTTGTTCATGTGAGAAATATCTGTAGGTTATAATATTTACTCAGTACTCATAAAACAAAAATCACACATTCTGGAAATAATTCAGAATCAATTTTATCATGTTGTAGGCGAAGATTCACAAAGCTCAAATATTCTGACAAAACTTCTAGTTGCGCATTGCATCAGAACTAAATACCGCAGTCTACACTTCTAAGATCATTCCTGTCTGTTCTCTTTCAATATAACCGTTCTTTTTCCATTTCTCCTTCCAAAGAGGGATGTTCACGGGATTCAAAAACTCAGCTGCGTTTAGTGGCTGGACAGGACACACAAATGAATAACGCTGCTGGGTAAGATACTAGGTGCTAAGCTAGTTATGTTTCGATCAACTATAATATCTCCCTATTTACATAAAATTTCTGAAAGCCTTATCAAACACACACAGTTGCAAAATTCACCCTGTGCGCCTCCAGATTACAACTTCCACTTGGAATGCCTTTATCTTTCTTCTTGAGGTGGCTTCCTCTTCTTTTAATGCCCGGTTCCAAATCCACTGCCTCCACGAGTAGCTCCCAATCACTTGCTCCTGTGCTAGCGGAGCTCCCACACTGGGCTCCCGTTCACGGCTGTGCAAATAGCACCTGGCAGGAGTGTCAGCTTACCTAACAGGAGCCTTGGCTGGTTAGGATGAGCCACGGGAGGTGCTGTATGATTCGGCTTACCTGTTTTATCCACCTTGACACCTGAATCATGATTGCCATGTCTTGGAGTTCTTGGAGTTCAAGTACATTCTAGAACAATCCTTGCAGATGTTCTTCAACGCAGGTCATAAAAGCCGTAATAGGCATCGCTGAAAATGAGCACCCACACTATGGATGTGAATTGCAATCAGTTTAGTAAATAGTTACCTGAAGCGTAGTCACCATATCTCTCAAAGAAACTACAAATGGGAAGCAGCTATCTACTTCAGATGGCTACTTATTTGTCTTCCCTACAGAAATGCTGGGGCCCTTAGTGGGTATGGTTAAAAGAAATGAGGTACTCTTAGCCCTACTAACGTTCTCTTCCTTTTTGTGACCCTTCGATGGGTTTTTTTGTGTCCTATACCATCTGCCTTGGGATTCCTGAATTAA